TAAGATCCTGCCCTAGCATGCGATTTTTTATTTTTTGCATCCACTCGATGACCCGGGTTCAAACCCTGGTGGAGTTTTTATTTTATTTTTTGCATCCAAGATAGAGACAAAAACGAGGGTAGTTTCATAAATGGGGGAAAACACAGTGGCTAGGACGCGTCAATATGACGAAACCCTAGGGACATTTTCGTCTTCTTAAAACTCATGGTATATAAACGTTTTAACCTAAACCCTAATCAACCCTAGCAGCCGCAGCCGCTGCCGCTCAGCCATTCTCGATCTTTCGCCCAAAAAAACAACCCTCTTCTCTCTCTCCCTCACTTCTTCGCCTCTCGTCTCTCTCTAGTCTATCTTCTACCCCTTTCTACCTTGAAAAAACCGAAAACAGAAGGATGAGGGAGACAGGCAAACTCGATCCCTCCTCTATTCCACCCATCAACGACGCTCTTGCCTTTCTAATGTCCTGCCTCTCTTCTTCTCTTCCAGAGAAACAAATGAAACCCTAGCCTCTCTAACCAGCAGCCTCTCTCTCCTCTCCCCTCTCCCCATCTCGTATTCTACCCTCTTCTCTTCCAGAGAAGCACAATCGAAACCCTAGCCGCCGCTCTCTTCTTTTAAAGTCGGACCAAAAACACCAAAAGGAGACTCTTCTTCCTCTCTTCGCCACGGACACAAAAACGACTCGTACCCCCCGGATTGAAAAGAAAAAAAAAACGATATAGGTAAGATCCTGCCCTAGCATGCGATTTTTTTTTGGTTTCTATTTCAAAACCGAGTTTTGATTTATTTTGTTATGGGTTTTTCTTTCTAACGAGGGACGGGATTGCCGACGTTGGGGGTTTTTCCCGGCGATGACGGCGTCGACAGTCGGACAAAAAAAAGCATGAGGAAATCTGGGTAAGGTTTTTTTTTGTTTGCATGTAACGATTTGGATTTTAGTGTTTTCGAGGTTCTAACCCTATTTCTTGTTTATTTTTTGGAGATCGACTCGAAATCGAGGTGGGATTCTCGATTCGTTCAACCCCAATCTCGACCTACTCCTTCTATTGAGAACAGAGGTTCCAACGGGGGATCTTACCCTCTGGTAAGCTCTTTTCCACATGCATGTCCATTTTTGTCCGATTTAGGTGATTTTATTTGCGATTCAGCTAATATTTTTTCGTTTTCTTGTGGCTCTTGAAGATTAGGTTTAGACGATGGGAAAAGGAACAGTGAGGAGACCACCGCCGAGGCGATTAATCGGTAGGCTCGGTTCTATCTTTTTGGTTTTTGGCTGATTTTCTGATTTTTGGGTTCGAAATTTTTTTTTTTTGGGTTTCGGATTTGGACGAGGATGAGAAAGGAGCAGCGGGGTCTTCAGGAGGATGAAGAACATCGCCGTTGGCGATGCTTTGACGCCAACGATGCAGGTAGGATTACTGAATTTTTTTTGTTTGTTCTTTCTTGGATTTGGGTTGGTACTGACCCTTTTATTTTTTTCGGCAGGATTTGAGAGGAAAGATTTTGGGTAAGAATCTCCTAAACTTGCTTAGTCTGATTTGGAAATTTGAGCAAAAAAAGATTCTTGTTGAGGGTTTTGGAATCGGTTTACATATCTGTGTTCTTGGTAAAAAATGGTTGCTTAAGTTCGCTATGGAATCTTGACTATTCCAATTGGTTTCATAAAGACACCATTAGTTTTATTTATAACAGGTTAAATCATTAATTATCACCGCCACTGCTAGTGATTTAATTAGACTAATGACTGCAAACCGCTGCTACTGCTTGTGTTCTGCTACTGCTTGTGTTTTGATTAGATTAGAGTTTTTTTTGTTGATTTAAAAAAACTTGTGAGAGTTTGTGAATCTAAAATTTTATTGTGTTTATGGTTTCCTAGATCTGGATTTTGATTTAGTTTGTTTGTGTATGATGATCTCGTGTTCATCAACCATGTGCAAAAAAAAAAAAAAAAAAAAGAATACGAAAGCATGGGAGAAAATTGTAATAGACTATCAATTGATAAGAGAATGCATGGGAGAAAATTGTAATAGACTATCAATTGATAAGAAAAAGTAAATAGATGCTCAATCTAAAGAAGCTTAATTCCGAATTGGAACTACTATGAGCAGATTTTATTTTAGGTAAATAGAGCCCTTGAATATAAAGGGGCTCGTAAAGTGAATCACTTGAATATAAATAGATAATCTGATGGATGATGATAATGGTACCACGATAGAGTGGAGATTATGCTAAATGACGTGAAATTTACCATTGATCATGGAAGCAGAGTTAAAATACCAACCTTATTAAGATTTTTGCTCCGAGAAGTCTTCCTTGATGCCGCTCCGATCCAATTCCTAGACTCAGCTTATTGTAATGAAAGATTAGAGTGTTTTTAGAATTTTCTGTCTCTGTTTTCTTCTCCAATTCCCTCTCCCAAGCAAAGAGATTAAAGATCTCATTCCGTGTCACACGATCATTTGTCGTTGCTGAGGCTAAAATTGACGTGGTTCTTTGAGATTGGTCAAATTTGTGGTTGCGTCTTGAGCCTCCACTTACAAAGTCGGTTCTGACTGGTAAGGCTGAGTGTGGGCTGAGCAAAGTTTGGATAAGGTTGGGCCGGCTCTGCTTGTAGGCTTGTGGGTCGATCTGGAAATTGCCTGGACTCGAAATGGGCCGAACTGCAGTTGTAATGGGCTTTGTTCTAATCCTTTCTTTCCTTCTTTGCAGGTCCAATTTCGGCCTGAGGAGCCAAGGAGGCCAATGACTTCAAGGAAAATTGGGCCTGCAGACCTTATTTGCGTCCAAAATCCCAATCTGTTTATAATGTTCACTTTAAATTGTGTATATATGTATGATTTATAATTGCCCATATAATCCTTCAATATCAATGTAATTTTCGATTAAATATACAGTGTAAGAAATCTATTAGCAAGTTATATTTTTAATCTTTCCTGATCCGTGTTCTATATATTGTAATTCATATCCACATCCAAACCCGAAGCGTACTAAATTCCTAATCATCATGTGTATTCGAACTGATCCTTGAATCAATATAGAAAAAAATTGATAATCATTGGTTCATATTGACTTGCTACTGCTAGTCTCAACCAATTCACTTTAAGTTATCTTTTCAAATATAATTGTAAAGCAATGTTACATTGAGTTTTTTTAGAACGATTATCCCAGACAAAATGTGGTGTGTACAAGAACTATACATCACTTTTACATATTCAATACTGCAATTCGATATGGAATATTCGAACCAATAATATTTGGGCCGCGATTTTAAAGTTATCATCTATTTATAAGATATATAGAAATTTAATTTAGTATTAAACAATAATTAAAATCAGGAATTTGGCCTATGTTAGCTACATAATGTTTATCGACCGGTTCATGAGTTTTGTGGGTTGTTAGAATTTTGTGTTTTTCTTCACAAAACCAGGAAGAGATCGATCAACCGCTGCCTCCGGCAATGTTTCCACGTTCCTCCCAAAGGAAGCGAAAGGAAGATAATTAAACAAGGACAACCAAAACAGAGGTTAGGAGAAGGGGCTAATGGCCAGGATGATCGAAAATCTCAGCTTCCTACACTTGAATGAACGATGGAGGAAGTCGTTCGAATGAAGGAACAATAGGGGAGAAGACAGAGAGACATGAAAGTCTTGAAAACAGAGGTTAGGAGAAGGGGCTAATGGCCAGGCTGAGTGCAAACTTATACTCGCATCTCTCTGTCTCCATTCTCCCGTCTCTCTCACACGAGGATTGCGCGTAGAGCACGTTCTCATCTCAGAGACGACTGTTTCTGTTTTTTAGAGAGAGAGAGAGAGAGAAGGGCATAGTAGTTGTGGGCTGGGGACTGGTGGTTGGTGATATGAGTTCGTCTTAGATGTGACTTGGGAGCACAAGGGGAATCCGAATCTTTGGTTATTTTTATTATTATATTTTTTTCGATGAACCATTAAATTCCTTTGACCTTTCTCATTTCCTTCACTCTTTTTATTATCTAGTTTGGAAATATAGACGAGTTTGTCGGATAGTGCATATTTGTTATCATATTTTAATTAATTGGAGTTCTATTTATATCTATACATGTACAATATTCGGGTGGCAAATCAAAATTATACTCATATTTGTTTGAGTTTCGTCTATCCATTGATATCCACCAAGGTTGTCAAACCGGTTTAAGTCTTTGACTCGGTCAAGTAAGGGGTTTGAGATTTAATGGTCTGATCGGGGTCCGGCCGTTTTTAGCCGTTTTAGATGTTTTCTAAATATATATACAAATAAGGTAGTAATTAAAGATTTAATGACTAAAATGAAATTTATTTTCCAAAAAATAAATATATCTAACCTATATAACCCACCCACCATCTCCTTTCCTTCGCTTCTCTTCCTCTCTTCCCCATCTATTCTTCCCCCTCTTTAGAGGTTAGACCGGAGGGCTTTATAGAGGCCATTTTGAAGCCCGAATAGGTCAACCGGAGGTTCGATAGGGGTTTAACAACCTTGATATCCACATATAGTTTTTTTTTAATTATATCATCGATGTGTTACTATTTAAGAGAATATTTACATCATATAAGTAAAAGGGTTATGATTATAAGTCAACAATCTGAAGAAGATTTATAAAAAAAATAACAAGAATTAATTGGGATGTAATATATGTATTACAAATGTCGAATATTTTGAGAGAGTGGATGATAATTTGTAGGAAAATTACATTGCATCTATGGTCGTGAGGGTGAGGGTTGGATACTAGAAATAAACATGTCGCCCCCATATCCATAATATTCGGGTGCTGATTTATAGACCACAGAGTACTTGTTTTTGTTCAAGTATTGTCGTATTTAATCATATCGGGTTTAGGCGGTAAGCCGGTAACCATGTCGAGAATATTTCTTCATCTCTTATTTGGGATTGAGAAGGAGGGTCAATAAGAAAATAATAATTGACTCTATTCGAGTTAATAGAAATATAAACCTCTATAAATAATAATCTAAGTCATTAGTTTGTCACTCGAAAAATCATGTAAACAAATTCTTGTGACTTTTGAAATTAAGAAAAGAAGTCGCAACATCAAAGCTAGTTGTTGGTGCATATGTGTAGATCAACATGTCGACCAAGTTGGGCGTTCGGTTAACCTTTCAGGTGCAACCACAATATTCATTGTCTTTGGATCACTCTGCAGGATGTTGGATTGAGGAATGGAGATATCTTTAGTTGTAACCGATTGACATCTCCGTAGTGCAGTCTCTTGGTTTATTTCTGAACTTTTTCATCATTAGCTCGACAGTTCTTTTCATTTGTAAAGGTTGAGTCTCGTTATAAGTGTATCATTAGGTCGATCATTTTGTGAATGAGATCGACCATTTTATCCACCATCGATATACCCCTTGGATTTATTTTTGTATAATAAGTTAAATAAAACTTTGTTGATGATTCTTAGTTAAAATTTTTTTTCAACGGATGTATTAACATAGTAAGAATCTGGGCTAATTCAACTAGAAGTCTAGAACACCCCAACTTTAAAAAATGTCACTTTTATTATAAGTGTGATATAAGTCTACTTTTTTGTGGTTTAGGTACTACTTAAGGTCGAACCTAGGATTTTCATATCGAAAGCTAATGGTATTACCACTAGACCAAACCCTTGTTCGTTAAGTATTCAATATTATAATTCCAGGTTAAACTATTATTTCCATTAACTTTGACCGTTAATAGTCAACGTATTCACTGTTGATGTGCCAACTGTTGTGTAATTAAATTTTTTTTATAGGTGATTAAGTATTAGGAGTTATGTTGAATTTTGCTTACATTACTCCTAGAAGTGGTGTGTGGGTGTCTTTCTGAAGTGGCTGTTGGTTATCGGTAATGATATTGAAAGATGTTTTTCCTAGAGTTGTTGTTGCCTCCTCAAATCCCAAATATTTGGGTCTCTAACCACTCATTAAGATTCAAAATGCTTATGTTTTCTATAATATTTAAGGTCAATATATAGTTCATCCAATGCGAAAATGCCAAAATAAGAAGTGAGGCTGAGATTTCAATTCATAACCTTCTTAAGACAAGATGTGATAGTATCCAACAACTTGCTATCCTTAAATCGAGCTTACCAAGTTTCATGCCATTTGCATTAGTGTATTTTATGTGTATTATAAATTCGGAGTATAAAAAACAAATTATGATCCAACAACTTGCTTTAACCACTCTAATTTAATCAAGAATCACAAGTGTTGCATATTTGGTGTCAGTTTATAAGTTAAGCTTCCAGGTTCGAGTTATGCAGACAATTGCAAATATTTCATTTGTTCTTAGCTTTAAGTGTATTTGGTAACAGAGATAATAATAATTTGAGAAAAAAGGAAGATGTTGAAGATATAAATTTCAATGATATAGAGAAAGATAATGTTCATGACTTGGATAAGATTAACTCTACTTAATGAAAATTATATTTTCAATGTGAGTTTTTGACTTTCCAATAGTTAGATAATTTGGACTCCTTTCCTATACCAAATAAATTGCAATTCATTAAATATTGTTACTGTTGTTATGCAATAATGAAAAGTATCCGACCAACGGGTCGGACCCAAATCTAGTTAGAATAATAAATGTACGCTTATGTTTCAATTGTTTGACAACATTTTCCATCCCTTCAACTAGCTCCCATTCTTCATGATCGTTTCATGCTCATTTTTCGTTAATGTCATCACTATTATAACACATGAATGCAAAACAAGCTTTCCAACACAACAATCCTTTTGTCAACTAACAATCCAAATGGGTAATTATTTACCTAAAATTTCGTTATGGTAAGCAAAAACAAATAAAACTCAAAAAACATAAAACCCACACCAACAATTTTGATAATACAAAAAAACAAAAACCCCAAAAAATGTCCTACCGAACACAAACGAGAAAAACAACCGGCGCTTTCCCTTCACCCTATATTTTCCCGCCCACTGCCACCTTCACCGCATTCCAAATTCCTCCCACCGTGTGTCCGCCACCAACACCACCGCTCTGGCCACTGTAATCACAAATCTCTCTTACTCTTATATTTGCAGATCAATTATTCTTCCTTCTCCTCCTCTGTTTAAATTAATTTCGATCATCAATTGATCAATCCGTCGGCGGAGACAGAACGACGTCGTCATCGTCGTTCTACCAACACAACGCTAACCGAAACAGAGGATTTACATGGCCGCCGGGACAACAACGACGACATTCCGACTGAGCCAACTCCACGACATATTCGACCGATTCGACATGGACTCAGACGGCAGTCTCACTGTCTTAGAGCTCGCCGCCCTGCTCCGCTCCATCGGCCTCAAGCCGGCCTCCGGCGACCAGATCCACGTTCTCCTTGCCGACATCGACGCCAACGGCAACGGCTCCATCGAATTCGATGAATTAGTCTCCGCGATCTCCAACAACATCGACGAGCAGACACCGGGGAACCAGGACCACATCCTCGAGGTCTTCCGATTGTTCGACCGCGATGGCAACGGCGTCATCACGTCGGCCGAGCTCGCTGGGGCCATGGCCAAGATGGGGCAGCCCTTGACGTACAAGGAGCTCACACAGATGATGAAGGAAGCCGATACCGACGGCGACGGAGTTATCAGCTTTACCGAATTCTCCACCGTCATGGCCAGGTCCACCATGGAGTCTTTAGGGATGGCTGCAGCTGATCCTTGATTGATTGATTGTTCTATAGGATTTAATGTGATCAGATGTGTGCTTGATTGAGATAAATGAAAATTACAAAAGGATACCATTTTATTCGAATTAATTAATTAGTTTGTCAAATTTTCTCCTAAATTTACAAAAAGTAACTTTTTGCTCCTTCATGTCGATAGCCTAGACAGAAGAGTGAGTATATGTACACTTCCTCATAGAATGGCCTCACGAATGTTCTTCAAGCTGTCTGATTTTGCCTCAAACTGGTGGTGTGGGATAACGATCTTTGAGTCGCCAATTGGGTCTTCGTCGACTCATTGTCCATCGCACACGAGCAAAGTGATACATTGGGAAGAAGTGCCTATGGATTGCAGTGAAACAGAAGCAAGTGTTATTAGAAGGCGGTTCACATGAGGATGATGCATATGCTTCATAGAAGAACAGAGTGAAGCCAAATGCAAATATTCTTGTAGATGAAGTAGCATGTCTGCCAAATTTCCACAGAAAATAGGTTCATTAATCTGACATGTAGGTCATACCACATGAATGGCAAAGGAATTTCCCAAGATACTTTACCATAGTACAAAGATAAAAAGGTAATTGCGAAATTAAATTTACCATTGATGAGATCCTTTTGAAACACAAATTAACATGAACAAGGAGCAACCTCTCCAAGAATCGGAATTGTGCTATTGCAACATCACTTGACATGACTACCTGAATTTTGAGGTTTCCAAATAGAGGAAGAAATCATGAGCAACCAAAATCAAGTGGAATAGAACGTACTTGAAGACCTCTACTTAAGCATTCACTTGCATTGCCTCATATCCACTGATACCAACACAAATATCTGCTTCTTGCAGCATTCCAACATCGATTGCTCTATCTCCAATCGCCAGTATCATTTTTCATGTTTTCAATTAAATAAAACCGTAAGAAGTGGTAAAATGAATGGTACTTTATAACTCGTTTCTTCTACCCCTTGAAGTCCGAACAAACCAAGCTGCCTCGCATTTGGTAGAGGCAAAAGCAAAATGTTCCACAATAACTATAGCTTCGCAACCTAAACTAGAAACAACAACAACAACTTCTTGTTGGCAATCCTCAGTTTCACTAGAAGCCTCCTCACCTGAACTTGGTGGTTTGGGTGGGAGCTACCACCGACAAGAAAGCAAAATGCTTTGCAGTTGCAATCATGCGTACCATAAAAAGAACTCCATATGAATGGAATACATTTCTGCTGCTTAGCATTGCCCCTAGCGTAGCAGGTTAGCAAATTGGAACCATATGATTTCAGGCCACAGAAAGAACTAGGAGACCAACAACTAGAATTGAATGGTTGTTGTTGCCATCCCTAACTAATCATCGAGATCATGAACTCACCACAACACACCACATCCAGCACACTGGCAACTGGTGTAATGTCACAGCTGAGAAGATCGAATATCTCGAGGGAGAGTAGTGAATTCCACTGCTAGAATATTTTTAAGAAAGGTGTGGTAGGAGAGTGAAGAAAATTGGTCTCTCTCTGCCAATGGTCAACTCAAACCAAAGATGAAAGTGAGAAAAAACCCTCCAGAAAGAAAGCGGTAGTAAATGACATTTTGGTACAGGACTGAAGTTATACATTCGTGATCAATGGTTCTGGTGAAAATACAAATGACATAGGAAGAATGGAGGGAAAATTAATATTGTGGATATAAGCACCAACCATCCAACAATCATAGGGGAAGGATGGGGAAAAAGGCCGGTCCTGCTCAATCAAACCTACCAACTACAACAGTTGCAACACATCTCAATACAAAGTAATTAGATGCAAGCAGCAACATCGCTATAATCCAACAACCACAGGAAAGCATCATCCTTTAAACCCTATCCAAAATCTCAATCCAAAATGCTCTACCCAACTTACCTTAGCATAGACACCATCAGCAACGACCTTGTTCAATTCACACAACACCTACATGGCAAATAGTTATGGTTTCACAACACCCAAGTGAAAAAGAGTACTACTCCATGCTAGGAAGGGGAAGAACACAAGAGGAAGAGGTAGTAACCACCATGGTGATGCCTCCAATCTCTTTTGAGCTTGTGTTGATCTTCTCTTGGGGAGAATCTTTCCAATCCACCACTTAGAGCAAACACTAGCCATCTTTCTTCCTTGGTTCGTCCTTTCTCTCTCTAAAATATGAAGAAAAGACACTTTCTCACACTTGGACTCCCCCTCTCTCTTCCTTTCAGCTCACATTATCGCCATCAAAAGTTCACGGTTTGGCCTCAATCTTCACGGTCTTGTTGATCGTGAACTCGTCCTGCGGTAGTAACTGGTGATTTCTCCCTAGCGCATCTTAATTCACGGTTTTGAGCTGTAGTTCACGGCCATAGTGGACCGTGAACTCCCATGGGAAATCGTGAACTGCGCCTAGATCACCCTCTTTGCCCGGTCTTCGCCTCTTTTAGTCCAACTCCCGACTCTGGGGCTGGTTTCACCTGTTGGATCCTGAAACACACTAAAACGCACAAAACCTAGCGTAAAACCACCCTTTTAAGAGTCCAAATGCTACAAACGCCCAAGAGAATCGGGGATAAAATGTGTGCAATTATACCCGAATCAGTGGCTGAAAGGAGTAGCACCAACAGGGCGGTCCGCCTTACAAGCCTCCTCATCAATCCCAGCCCGCCCAACTCCTTTTCTATTAATGCAACCATCAGAAATTTACTCATATACTGTAACTTGTCGCCAACAAGAAACATCACATCCTTAAAGTGGCGGACGTCGGCACGCTGTATACGGCAGAAAATAATGATTGGAACTATGTGCTGCGGCACCGGTTGAGTCACAGGCTTGCTCGGAAGTTCAGCCAAATTGTTGATCTTCTCGTTTATCCTATTACCAACATCGAGCAGCCTGTCGAATATCATTTTGAGATATTTAGTCGGCATCTTGCTGAAAAGAAAAAAAAAAGATGCAAACTATTTAGCCACCAGAGTACGAAACCAGTTCTTTACAAAATAACAAACCACGACCACGATCATAACCCAGCTGCACAAACGATTGGGAGAACTAAACCTTAGTGGAGAAGCGACACCGCGGAAAACTGAAGCTTTCTCTCTCCCAAGAGCGAAAGGGAATTGTCAATTGTGACCCTTCAATTTTTGTGGGTGAACTTCACCTTTTTTTTTGCTAAGGCTAGTAAGACTGGGTCGGGTTGCCAATCATGGGAGTCAGAGGCGGCTAATCACCTAATTTTGGCCTCACAATAGAATTCGCCGCTAAACTCTCCGGCCTCATTGTTGGAGAATACTATTGATTATTAGTTTTTGCCCCAATTTGTCATTCACATTATTTTAAAAGTTCAAATACCGACTTGTGGAATAGGCGTGAGGGATAGTGCGAGAGATTATATATTTTTAGAGAACAGTATATTCAGATCAAGATACTACAACACTTCTTTTTTTTAATTCAATATATAAATACAGGTCTAAAAGAAGAGGCTTTTTAGTATGCTATATAGTATGGGTGCTTTACTATGTTTATAGCCATTAGATCTTGTTAAATATTGTGAGCCATTGCATCTTGTTCAATTAATTATTTTTTATTTTATTTTAGTATTGGCTACCTGTTGCACCGGTTGACAAGTTAATAATAATTAAAAAATAAAATTAGAAGCTTCACTTTACTTCTACGTTCCAATTCTCTTCGACTTCTATTAAAAAAAAAATTCTCTTCGACGACGGTGAAGGAGGTGAGCAGAGGGTGACGGCAAGCGAGTGCGGCGAGCAGGGGGCACGTCGACGGCGAGTGCGACGCTAGGTAAAGGAAGAAATAGGGTTTCGTGGATTCTCCAGTCGATAGAGAAGGGGGTGAGCAGGTCGACGGTAAACCAGATTCTGAAATAGGGTTTTCGCGGTGTCTCCTCTCCCGCGATTGTGCTTCATCGCCTCTTTGTTGTGCCGCCGGGGCGAACACAGTGGTGGTGTTTCCTCGTCGATAGTGAAGGTGGCGACAACGACGGCGAACTGGATCTTCAAATAGGTTGACGACGATACTGTAAATAGGGACTGAGCAGGGGATTCATTGGATCTTCAATTAGTCACAGCTTTGGTGTGTTTCTTCCTTCAAGTTTTCAGGTAATAAAGATGATCCTCAGATTCTGAATGTTTCTCCATTTCTCACTTCAAATTATTCTTCCTTCACCTGCTACTTCTTTCTCGTCGTCTGACTAAAAAGAACCCTAAACTCAGCCCTCATTTGTGAGACAACTATTCTTTCTTTTTTCATCATTTTAGCTCACTATAAGTTTCAATTATGATTGTTCTTGTATAATGCTTTTGGGTTTCATGGAAAGTGTATGAAAGATGATGAATTGGAGATCATCATTAGGGATTTGAAGTTTTCTGTGAGTGTATCGTCAATTGGGTTTGTTTGTGTTTTGTTGTATTGATCATTACCATGGACATTCATAACCTTAAACGATGTTGTTGCTTCTGTCTAGTTGATAATCCAATCAATTTGTAGTCTTGTATTAGGATTGCAGGTGTCGCAAAAAGACTAGAAATGCAGGTTGTGTTCAATCATGTACTATTTGGTTTTGTGTTCAATCCTGTACTATCTGGTTATCACTCTCCATGCAATTAAATCCTCTTCTGTTGTAGATAATGACTCGTAGATTGCATGTCAATAGTCTTGGATTAGTGTAGCTGATACTGTCTACAAGAACTGTTGGTCTATAGTGTTCATGCCATCTTGTATGCCCTATGGTTTGTGGGGTGATAAAATTGCTAACCAAGACAAAAGGGAAAGAAAGAAAACTAAAAACTCAAACAGAGCATAATAGAGAGATAGTTAGAGGGAAAGCAAAGACATTGTTTTATCTCAAAAACTATAACATTCCACTGTTTATTACAGTTGCAAAAGACATAGTGACATATATGAACAAATTTTGATATTAGATCATTCATATACATGATTTATCCTAGAAGGATTATACAAATTGACTATTTGCTTAGAGGAGTATAATAGCTGACCTGATTAGTAGGGTTAGAGCACCCTCTATCCTACTTTCCTTTAGTTGTATTGTTCGTCGATTTAT